TAACATAATATAAAACGCACCTGAAGATCTTGTTTAGCAGCCTCGGCGCCAGCGCGTGTTTGGAACGTAACAAAACCCACTGGCTGCAAAAACAATGAAAATGTCAAAAATATATCATAACTACGATTTTAACACTTTTATTTGGTCAGATATTTGTGCTTACCGAAGCCGTTTTGCCATTTTTGCTTGTAACTTTTAACAGAGATCCTTCGTAACCCTAAAAAAAAAAAAAATGAATAAATAAAAAACATAACATTAGTATATTATGCGACGACAGCAGTATCTGACAATAAATGTACCCACTCGCAACAACAATAAACCGCATTGTAAGATAATAAAACCGATGAACCGTTTATTGTTGTTACGAGAGAGTACGTACATTTGTAGTACAAATTGCAAGAATCGTGGTGCGGTCGTTGTTGATAAGAACCACATTAACGATTGTAGCACTATCGAATTCGCAAAGGATTTCGAGAACGGATCGAATAAGAATGAGTTTTTATATTTATCATATGCCATGAATGTCAATTTCACAATTTCGTATAAAAAAGAAAAAAAAACGAACATCAGTGTCGGCGTGCCAAGAATGATATTATTTTACGATTGGAAGGCGTAGTGCTTTATTTATTATATTATGTAACATCCAAAAACGTTGTTTCCGAGTTGATTATATTTTAAATATTCCCGTGTTGTTCGCAGATATTATATTATTATTTATACATAGAAATTGTTAAAAACCAATCGACCATATTATGAATTTGCATATTTTAGTTGTAAGCTTTATAGTTTCGACTTCCGAGAAAATCGAAGAATTCGCGCCAGGGTGTGCAGAGGGAATGCGTTTCGACGCTAAAGAAATACAATCAGACACTATTTTATGACTGCTGATAATAAATAAATTACTTCAACGCGGTAAACATAATATATTTTATAATTTGATTGTTTATCATTTTAAAAACAGACGTACCCATGGATAGCAATAATGTAAATTGGTTCCGATAATACAGTTTCGTGTCGACGCCATGTGTCACTTAATACAACAATAGGACGATAATAATTCGAATGCTATAAAGCCGGAAAGAAATTTAATTAAACGCGTCAAAACTAATCAAAGAAATAATACAGCGCTTATCGAGAACCTATTTAACGATCCAATATATAAACCAATCGGAAAACGAGTTGTAGTCATTTGGCGAAGCCAAGTGTGGAAGTCTAGATAATATACATGCGTACACAGCGTATGACCTATATATGTATACTATATAGTTACGATTTTGAGACCATGTACACATCTTTTAAGACGGAAATAATATTATTCGAAACGATGGGAAAGAGTGTCGTAGAGGGCGCGTCGATCTCGCGTAAAACCGCGTAGTTTCATCAAACACAAATAAAACACTGGATGGTATCGGCGTAATAAATTTTTGGGACTGCCGCGACCCTACCAAATGGACGCGTTATTAAGGTATTAAAATATTATGAATATAAGCAATGCACTAAGTATTGTTCAACGCAAGTGCGGCGACACGATTGTTTCGTCGGATTATCAGTATTGCTATGTTTGACAATCGTGTATGTGTTATGATTGGTTTTTTTTTTTTTTTTTTTTTTCGCGGGCAGAGATTACGTGACTCGAGTTTCAAATCCGGCCGTGTGTGACACCACCGCCGACGATTTTCGGTGCGTCACGAAAATCGTTTTTAAAAGTGGTCTACGCGATGTCAAATGGCTTCAAAAAGCAATTGCGTAGTATTCGCGCATGGGGAATTGACACGGACGTATTAATGGCGTCTGTCTGCGTCTTACGAGCTCGGAATCGAACATCGATTACTTGAAAACAGTCAACCGCGTTTTAACGACTCTGATTATTATTGCATTTCAACCTGCCCGAAATAAATATTATATAGGTACCCTGCACGATCGGGGGCGAGAGTATTGAGTTCAAAAACATAAACGCGTAATATTCATTAAAGTACACGTTAGTTCGTAGTACGGTTTTGCACGCGAATTCAAATGGTTATTATATCGGTTTGTAGTTCGGCCGTTGCCTAGACACGGTCCGCAATAGGCCGCCTCGTGCCGTGGCCCATGGGGGTCTCGCGCATTACAATATTATATTAAAATAGAAGTTTGGCCGAACGATCGACGCTGTTATAAGATATTATTCGACGTTTGCAGCTAAACTAATTTATTATTAGATTATATTTTATGCTCAAACGATTATAGTATTATAATATATAATCTGTTACCCTGCAGTAGTGTACTTCGATGATTGTCCAATTGTAATTGAAAAAAAAAATATTCAGTCATCGATAGACATTCTGCACAGATAATAACTAATAAGTAAATTAATTTACAAAAAAATATTAAACTAAATTTAATTTCTAAAGGCGTACAATTAACGTAGGCTTTTCCACAGTAATTTATATAGACAAATTTACATAAGCTCACAGTATACGACCAATCAAATGCCGCCAGAGACAAATCTCATATATTCTTTCATAAATGTATAACTGCGATTAGGTTAAATTGTATTTTAAAATACATAACTTGCGCATAAAACAAAATTTAATAACTAAATCAATTATGATTTTAGAACGTTTAAAATTTAATACTCTTATCTAGATATTATAAAAATTAGATTAAAAACATAATAATAATTTAAATCGAATCGATATGGCAGGGATATGCTGTAGTGTGAAAATTGACAAGAAAGTAAAAGGGGTTAATATTTTTTATCGATTTTAGATATTGTTAGTATAAATATATAACCCGATTTGATATAAAAAATTTAAAAAACTGTTATATTAATGTTCTGAAAGTAAAATATACAATCGCAATATATGATTGACTATGTAAGAATATTATACTTATAACTTATAGCTAAAACTTCACATTACATAGGTATATCAACCATTAAATTATAATTAATATGATTACCCTTGTAAATATGTTTAAGAGGTTACATTAGAAAAAAAAATGTTGGTAAAATTATCTTTTTAGTACATTATTGCCAACAGAAATTTCATAAAAAATACAGTTGTCATAAATCCATAACTTAAGAGGTAATATATTTATTTTAATAATTTATATAATAAAATATTTTTTTTCTATTTATTTATTTTTTATTTAATTGGTATAAGCAGTACGCTGCAGATAAAAACGAGCCGCTACGTTAAATATTTTCAACTTACATTTGTATCATTTAAATATTAACTTTATTTTTAAATAAAAATAAATAATAAGGGTGAAATTATTTATTTTCCTATTATTACAATGTTGATATTTTAAAATTAGATATTGTTATTTTTTAAAGCCTTGAGGGTGTTAAGTCACTAACAACACCTCCACCCTATTCTCAGAGATAGACTATTGTGAAATAATATGCACATTACGCAATGATTTTTTTTTTTTTATTTATTATTATATAACCACGCCACAGCTATTTGGTTTGTTATTATGGACTAATATAATTGTTAATTTTATTTGAGTTTTATACACGTATTATAATATAGCTCAAGTTACTGAAACCATGTACCTATTGTGATATTGCTATTTTAGTTGAACTACGGCGTGTTTAATTAATGTATATAATATTATAGTATACGCTCTTCTGATGATCTAACGTTTGTTTAGTAGTTAGCAGGAAGTTTTTAAAACTATAAGTTGGAACATTATTTTTGGTGTAAAGTTAAATCAAATTTTCCAAATTAATTTTATGTTATAGGAAGTACATATAGATGCATGTCATAAAACACAACGATTATTAAATCAATAGAGTTTACATTATCATGCACGAGTTTATATGCGTTTATATGTTTTTAAGTAAAATTAACTACATAGAAACAAAAAGCGTCTCAATAAAATATATCAGAAGTAATTTCCGGAAATAGCATTTTTTTTTTTTTTTTTTAAAGCTTATGAACAACTAAATATATTTTCTAGTGTAGGTAAATAATTTTTGTCAGAATCTACATTCATTCTCTGATTTTTTCGTGAAATTTTTTCAATCGTAAATATCCAATTAAATAAAAATACTGCTACATAATATGATATAATATAGCGTATAATCACGAAGATTTGAAATTTTTCAATGACATTTTAATGTTCAAAGTTCTTTTCTCACCATTTACTACAGTAATAATAGGTACAGATTATTTATAATAGTCATTTTGTATTTAATGATATATACCAAAAATATTATAGTAAATCTGCAAGCTTTTTATAGTTGGTTGAAAATAAGGAAATATAACCAATACTTATATTTTATTCAAATTTATCGACTCTTGTCTTGTGAAAAGTATCCACGTTATATTTATAATATACCTATTATTTTTATGTATAATATAATATAATACTATAAATATTATAATATTATAAAACTATATTTCATTTGATTATTACATTCTTGATAAATAATTAATTTCTAATTATAAAACATGTTAAACATGTTAAATCCTTTTTAATCTTGTAATATTTATGAAGAGATAATAAAACTAATTCAGTATAATATATACAATACACCTTAATAAATATATATGTATATACACACATACATATTATTATTTTACATACAAATAGTTATCACATTATGTGTGTCTACATATTATATAGACAAAATAAATTCTAAATTTGAAAATTCTATAATATGTAAGAAACTAAGAAAGCTTAGTTTATTATTTTGTGATTCGAAATTGGAAACCATTATTGATAAAAATTTAATTTTAACAATAATATACATAGCATATGACCTCAGTAATATTGATTCTTGCGTGGTTGTAGTTCATAATTATATTAGTGTTACATATTTTATACTAAATTATAAAGTTTTTATATTACCTCATAAGCTCGAAACAGCAAGTATAGTTCACGTGGCTTGGCATCCATTGGTAGACCACTGACAAATAACGTCCTTACCTAGGAAAAAAAACAATAAATTCGTTAGATTCTGACTATAGTGAAACAATAGTTGTGTTAGTAGCTAAAATTTTTGTCGAGCAATTTTGCTCCCTTCATATTTAAAACCCCATCGAGGAACCGCCCTTGCGTGTCCACTACAGCGTGTGCGTGACAATTGTAATTTCCGGTTTTCCCGACGGCGATTTTCCATTAAGTTAAATACAATTTGGATTTTCCGTACATAGGTGCGCATTTTCACTTTCATATATACACACACACATACACACACACACACACACACACACACACACACACACACACACACACAAAGTATACGGAATTCTAAATATATATACAGTATACAACATCAACAATGAAGTTTATTTTTTATGGTATTATGTTTTGTACAAAATGTCAATTAAATTAACAAAAAGCATTTTTCAAAAAAAAATAAAATAAATAAAAATGCCTTGTTTGAATATGTTCATACGAACAAACACAGTAATTAATAATAATATTTATATTCAGATAGTTGCCGTAAATGTAGTTTTCATAGTTGGAGTTATACATTTGTTGTTTTTATGTCAGCAAATCTCACCCTGTATATAAAGTGCATTTCATAAGAAACAAAAGAAAACCCCCTGGGTAGTGCTTTGGTTCTCTTTGTTTTTTAAAGGTCATCACCATGTCATGCGGGTGAAGTACGGGGTGGCTGTTTCGTGACTTTTCGAGCCACCGAAAGGTCTTACGGGACAGAGAAACACTCGACTGGGGGAGTAACAAAAAATAAAAAATATATAATAATAATAATAATAATAATAATAATAATAATAATAATACAACAAATATACCCCCTTTGCACGTACGCGTATCTACATATACACGTCGTGGATGAGAAGGGTACCTCTCTAAGGGCACGGGTGTTTTTTAAGAGCCATTGGAAAGAGGAAAAATAAGAGGCCCCAGGAATGTTTAAATACTAGGTGGGGAAGGGACTAGTTCCATAGATGTATATAACAGTGCGCTACGTTATAGGCAAGGCGGAAAAATTTACAACTAACAGAGAATATATAAACATTTTTATAAGTTCATATAGAAATATATTATACAGAAATTTGGTCTCCTGAGTACCGAATGAAATATTCAATTTGCAAACGAATTTAACATAAAAACTTAAAAAGTTTTTCAGAATAAACTTGAATTTTAATAAAATAGTCATACGGTTTGGTATTGACAATAACCAATAACAATAATACATTTTTATTACAGTTCTTATACAATAAATACAGTTATTTATATAACTGTAAATTTAGAAAAAAATATGCAACTATTATACCTATACCTACTCGTGTTACTAATATTATTTGTGAAGTTTAATTAATTTGTCAATGTTTTAACTTTTAAAAAAAGAAAGCTTATATTCTAATAATATTTCAGCGTATGTTTGAAAAAATTTGCACATAATATAATACGTGTAAAAAAATGTATGGTAATGTAATAGTTACAGTCATCAATAATAATAAAGTCTTGGATATACAGGAATCTTGTTTATGGCAAATTATGACATTTATTTCACATACCTAAAAGAGGAAATTATTTTGAAAATGATTTAGCTAGTTTAAGTATGATAATAATTATATAATATTATGTAAAACGACAATAGGATACCTACGTGTGCGATAGTTTCTAGCGCGTTATTTTAATACAAAAATACGTTTTAATGGAGTCTGTTGACTGTGCACGTATCAGAGTAGGAAGCGTGATTAGATATGTCATTTTTTAAAGGGTTTTAGCCATACTAACAAAATTTAACTTTAGCTTTGAGCGTGACTATAACGTATATTTTATAGTTATGATATGTTTTTTTCTTTTTATTCGAGTGTATACAGAATTAATAATTGCCGTAAATAGATTATACTCGTATGTTGGGCGTGTGATCATGGTGCGACGAGCAATAGGATTGGCGTTCGGGTGGAAACTATACATAATATATATATATATGTAAAAAACATGTACCTTGCAGTTCTTTTTACTGTCATCGTCACCACCACACGCACAGGTAGACGAATAAAAATTGACATCAATGACAGAGTGGTGGTGGCGGTGGTATAAAGCAACCAGGTAGTATATAATATAATAATAAAATAAAATGGAGCTTTGCTTGGTGGCCTCGGCGGTGAAGTCGTGGAGGGGGGGGTAGGGCGCCACTACTGACGGCGTGCCCATGGTAACGGCGTTATCAACACAACCGGCCACGGCCGAGTCGATAACACTCTTTATTTATATTTACAAACTTATTTCTGTGGTACACCAGTACAACTGAATTAATGATTCACGAGCAATTTTAATTTCAGAATAGGTATATCTATTTCATGAGAAAATTTTGAACGGGCAATAAAAGCCGGAGCCAAAATGTTGAATATTCTCAACAGTGATCTAATCCAATGCATAAGATCCAAGATAATTATAACATCTGAGTTATTGTATATTATACACGAATCTAGAAGAATCTTGTTTTCTATAAATATTTATTAAGATAGAATATTTATTCTCTAGGAGATGTAATCTAAAGAAACTATGGTTTCTGTGTAATCAAATCATTATTTTCATTAATTTCATCGGTAAAACCAAATAGAATAAAATAATATAGTTTAGAGATTACTCAAATATTTCTGGATCAAGTTAGTTTATTTCTAATTTATTTTTTCTTTAACATTAAAATTAAAATAATACAAAAACATTCAATGCAATAAAAAATAAATAAGAATGCAGAATAACTAACATTGTAATATATGTCAAAAATTTAATATTTAATAAAGATTAGACGTGTTGAGGGGGGGAATAGATGCATAAGTTAATCTTAAATTTTATGTGTGTATTATTTTATTAAATTTGAAATCAAGTTTTTCATATAGCTAGGTAAATATTATAGATAAAGATAGCAAATGTTCTATAAATCAATGATACATCTGGGACCAAATACCTTATCTTCATATTTCGCGGATACGAAATGCCCGTAAACTCAATTTTTGACGAGAATGGACCATTATTTACGTCCACTAGACAATATGATGTATCTTCATCATAAAGTTATACATCGAACGATTACAGGATTTAAAATTTCAGTGCATTATACTTGTAATACAACGTTATTGGTTCAACAAATCGACTTTTGCGAAACGGTAAACGTCGCACCCCATTGCAGCAGTTTGGTCATATTTGAGGAAAATCAATTCGGTTGAGGAGAGATTAAGTCGACCGACAAAATATATCGATGGTAATAAGTCGCACGGGCGTAAAGCTGCAGGGCAACATGCAAGCAGATAGGCGACATATCATCCTGTAAACTGTGACGATTACGTTTATATGGGTCTATTTACAAAACTGTCTTTCCGGTTCGAAGTGTTATTTATTTTTTTTCCTCGGGACTAAATCACGCACGTAAAGATTTCACACACATCCATGTATTAAAGAACCATTCACACAACGAACAACGCGCCTTAACATCTGCACGGTCTATTCATACGTTATAATGATCTTGTGCGTTTTCGATGTAGGTATATATAGTATGAACATGCAATTCGTTTTCGAGTAAAACTGGACTTTTTTTTAATTCCGCACATGTGTGTCCGTATTTGTAAACAAAGCGTTCTTACGATGTATACGGCACATGTTTTAGTCGAACGACAAAAAAATTAAACATTTGATGTTTATAAGAGAAGGCATATGGAAGGTAAATGATTTTTTTTCATTCATCGCGTTCGCGTTTTCATATTTTTAAATAACCCAATTTTAAAAACAAAAAATAAAAACTTAAACAAAGACAAAATTATTTATTATTTTAACGTGTTTATGTATGTAATTTATAGCTTGTAAATGAAAAGGGATTTACGCAAGATAATAATGAATAAAAATAATATAATAATCGTCATATAATACTACTACAGCGTCATCATGTCTTTCAATACTATACTTTTCAAACATAATAATATAATAACGGTGGTGACATCGACAACGATTTTCTGATAAAATATATAGTCTATAATTTTATTTACGTAGGCAGGTACGAAATAGTTCGCTGACAACCAAAATCTTCTAACGGAAGTGTAATTGTTGTATAGCCCAACATATTATAATAACGAGTAATAATGCGAAAGGAATCTCTAGAAAGACACGGACGTTATGTTAAATTTCGAAGAGCCTGCAATTGATTGGAGAAGATGAGTGCGAATCCAGAGGCCAAGTATCATCGTTGATGTTGGAGAAATGTGCATACAAAGAGAATAAAAGCTGTATCGCTCTTCAACGATCGCTGCTGAAGTAATACAAAGTATTTGCACAAACCTCTCGTGACAAGTGTAGGGCAAATGGCATACGAAATACATTTACGTATGTATACGCAGTGCCGGTTAAACAAATTTTGCACCCGCGGGGGTGAAAACTTGTCTTCTAATATTCTCTTGTTATTTTCCTATTGGGGAGAAAAAAAACTATTGTAATCATTCCGTTACAAATGTATACATACAGCCTATAGTGCTTATACGCATTGAAGTAAAAGTATTTTTTTTTAATATCACAGTTATCTAATAGTTTAATATAAAGTAGTTAAATACTGCTAAAAAAATTACACGTTTCAGTGTAATCAAAATTCCTATCCTCTTTAACATATGGAATTGAATATAATATGTATGATATGACCTGCGAGTATAGACTATACAATACATATACATTGCTCATTGCTAAGCGTGTTTTGTTTAATAATACATTCATTGTAGTGTACCTAGGGTTATGCGCTTATATTTAGCCGAGAATTTTAATGCGAAATAATAATTCTTACGAAACAGCGGTTTTCTCGTTAAAAATCGTTTTTCTAATACGTTTATGCCGGATGTTTTCAAAGTTATTACAATATGATGTACCGTAAAGTATGTGGGTCTGTGAGTATTATTACATCGTCGTATAATATTATGTATACACAATATTGTACTATGTACCTATCTCGTAGTGTTTTTTTTTTT